TCCCTCCCTCCCTTTCCTGTCTTGTAACCATAAGTTCGTTTTTTGTGCCTGTGAGGCTATTTCTGCTTTGTAAATAAGTTCATTTGTGTCTTTTTTTTTTTTTTAAGATTTCTCTTAAGTAATACGGTATTTTTCTTTCTCTTGCTGGCTTACTTAGTTTGACAATCTCCAGGTCCATCCATATTGCTGCAAATGACATTAGTTTATTCTTTTTTTATGGCTGAGTAGAGGCTTCATTTTGGACTTTATCCTCTAAAGCAGTGAGACTCCTTGGAAGGTTTTGAGCTTGGTTATTTCTTCACTTGTTGATACATTCATTCATCACACAGTTACTGAGCACCACTTTGTGCCAGGCACTCTGAGAGAGATTTAATAACAGAAAGCTGTCTATGGAGGGTGGCCCCAGAGAAAAGAGGGCTGGTGCACAGAGAGCAGTGAGGAAGCAGGCAGAGGAATAGCAGCTGACTGTTGATCCAGGCACCGAGGTCCAGGACAGAGAAGCTGCCATGCCCAGCAGGGCTGAATGTACCTTATTGGGCTTCCATTGTGGCTGATGTGTGCTGGAAGGTGGAGGGAGGAGACTGCACAGGTCCTGGATTGCTGGACTAGAGCCTAGGCTCTGCGTGTAAGCAACCAGGAGATGCAAATGAGTTTCAAATAAGGGAGCCAGTATGCCTAGACTACTGTGTAAAGGATGGAATTGAAGAATAACTTACTAGAATAACTCAGGAGCTGAGGAATTCAGATGGGCCCAGTAAGGGAGGCTAAGCCAGAGCTTATTTTTCAGGAGGTTGTGGGGATAATCACACAGTGAGTTTCTGGTTTGAGCAGCCAGTACAGTGTCAAAGGGAAAACCACTTAGGAGGCAGAGGATTGTGTAGTATATGATACAGTTTCCTCCCGTAGCTCTTGGAGCCTCAAGTAAAGTTGGAATCATGAATTAATTTAATTTCTTGTGGACAGTGGTAAAGATCATGAGATACCCTGTACCAGCTGGTGGAGGGTTAAACTCATACAGTAGTTAGAGTTGCAGGAATGGATCCATAGGGACCATGAAAATCAGAAGTGTGAAGAGCAGTGGTCTTTCATACTATAAAACTGAAGGTTTAAACTAAGCTTACCCAAATTTCTTAAGGTATAGAGAGATCTCAAGTAACTCTGAGTTACATGGATTTTAAGAAGATCTCTCCCCTGGATGGAAGAGGTCTGAAGGCTTGTTCCACTGCCCTTAATGATTTGCAGTAGTGATATTAGTAAGCTAACGCTGCCATAACAAAATACCACGGACTCTGTTTCTCACTGTTCTGGAGGCTAGAGGTCCGAAGATCAGTGTGGCAGCAGCTTTGGTTTCTTCTAAGGCCTCTCTCCTTGGCTTCCAGATAGCCACTTTGTTGCTGGGTCCTCACACAGCCTCTCTTCTGTGCACACCTCCCCCCCCAGTGTCCTCTGTGTGTCAAAATTCTCTTTGCTTAGATTGGATCAGGACTCACCAGAATTGCCTCATTTTAATCATGTTTTTAAAGGCCTTACCTCCTAAATTAGTCAGATATTGAGGTGGTTAGGGCTTCAGCATATGAATTGGTGCAGCACACAGTTCAGACCCTAATAGTAATCCAGCCAAGAAATAAAAAGAATATGGAAATGGTGAGGAAAGCATGGGTGGGAGAAAAGTTTTAAAGGAAAGTTCAAAGTGCTGTTAAAATTTGGTCAAAGGAAGTAGCTATAATACCTTGCAAAAAGTACTCAGTTTACTTAACAGCTTCCCACCATCTTGAAATGATGATAAGAAGATGAGAAGAAAACAAATTTAGAGTCTTTCCTGTTTTTAAGAGGTTTCAGTTGCCCACTTACATAAACCAGTTTTGCCTGATCTAAGTAAATGTATAGAAAGACCATTTGAGTACCTCCAGGAAGAGGTGGGACCAACTTTAGAATCAGGGAAGGAACAAGGGAGACTGGAAGGAAGCCAAGACCACAGTCCAGATTCATGCAGGTTGGGGAAACTAGAGGCTTGAACACTAAGCTCTAGAATGTTCTAAGAAGTTTCTTATGAAGTCTTCTAAAAAAGAAATATTCCTTTTTTTTAATCATTGTTCTTTTTATTACCAGTTTTCAGTAATTTGCTTATGGCTTACCTTAGTCTAGATGGGAGAGTGTGTCTGTCTGCTTAGTGTTGCTGAACTTCTTAGATCAGAGTATAAATGTTCAGTCTGTATTTTCCAAATATTTTTCTGCTGCTACCCTCTTTCTGGAATTCAAATTATATAGATGCTAGGTAGTTTCATATTACTCCATAGGTTACCAAGACTGTTTATTCTTAGCCTATTTAATTTCTGTGCTTCATTTTGGATATATTCTATTTACTGTATGTATTTTTAATTGCTGTGTAAAGTTTACCATAAACCCAGCAGCTCAAAACAATATGAGAGTATCAAAACAATATGAGAGTATCATCTCACAGTTTTTGTGGGCCAGGGGTCCTCTGCGTAGTCTCATCACGCTAAACTCAAGGTGCTGGTCTGGGCCGCAGTCTCGTCTGAGACTTTTGAGTCCTTTTCCAGGCTCACTGGTTATTGGCTGAATGTAGTTCCATACAATTGCACGACTGAAGTCATCTTTGTTTTCTTAACGACTCTTGGTGGAGTTTTGCTCTGAGATCCTAGAGACTGCCTTCAGATCCTAGCTGTATGGCTCTCTCACAATGTGACATCTTATTCTCCTGCTGGCTTTGAAGAAATATCTCTTGAAAGCAGATGGATTCAGAAAAAAGAAGGAGCACAAAGGTAACAAAATAACAAAAAAAAAAACTAGAAAACAAGTGGAAACATGGTAGTCATAAATTCAACCATTTTATTAATTAAATGTAAATGGACCATATACTCAAAAGTTGAGACTGTCAAGACTGGAGAGGAAAAAACAAGGCCCAACCATGTGCTGTCTACAAAAGATATACTTAAAATACAAAAACACAAATTAATAGTGCCATGCAAACAATAAGCATAAGAAATATCCGAAAAAATAAACTTCAAACCATGCAGCATTATTGGAAACAGATTTCATAATGATGAAATGGTTACTATATCAGGAAGGCACTATAATTATATGCTTAATAAAGATTCAAAACACATTAAACAAAAGCTGGGAGAAATCAGGATATAGAAGTCTGAACACTTTCAGCCAACTTGACCTAATTGACATAAAATAACAACTGCAGAATACGAACATTTTCAGATGCACATTGCATATTTGCCCAAAATAGACCACGTGACAAGCCATAAAACAAATCTGGACGAGATAGCTGATTTACCTGATACGTAGACACAGAGAATTTGGCAAAAAGAGGAGACAGGAATATGCTCCAATCAAAAGAACAAAACCAAACCTTAGAAAAAGAACTAAATGAAACATGCAATCTACCTGAGAAGGAGTTAAAAGTAATGGTCATAAATATGCTTACTGAACTCAGGAGAAAAATGGATGAACACAGAACTTCAACAGAAAGAAAATATAAGAAAGTACCAAACAAATTATAAATGAACTGAAAACATGTATTAGAGGGGTTCAACAGCAGACTGGATGAGGTAGAAGAATACATCAGTGAGCTGGGAGACAAAACACTGGAACTCAGAGCAGCCAAATGAAAAAAATTTTAAAAAGGGACTATACACTCAATGTTGTTCCAAGGGTCTCATAACGTAATAGCACTGGCATTATAGGGATTCCAGAAGGAGGGAGAGAGAAAGGGCTAAAGAATAGATTGAAGAAATAGTGGCTGAAAACTTCCCTAATTTGAGGAGAGACACAGACATCCAGATCCAGGAAGCCCAGAGAGTTCCAAATAAGTTCCAAATAACCCTAAAGGACACATACTAAGACACAATTAAAATAGTAAAAGTTAAGGATAAAGAGAGAATCCTAAAAGGAGCAAGCAAAAATCAGCTGGTTACATACAAAGGAAACCCCATAAGGCTATCAGAAGATATTTTTTAGCAGAAACTTTACAGGCCAAAAGGGACAGGCATGATAAATTCAAAGTGCTGAAAGGAAAAAACTTCCAACCAAGAACTTTCTAGCCAGCAAGGTTACCTACCATTCAGTATTGAAGGACAGATCCAGAGGTTCCTGGATAAACAAAAGCTAGAAGAGTTCATACTAAACGAGCCTTACAAGAAATGTTAAAGGGACTTCTTTAAGCTGAAAGGAAATGGCACT